ATTGTATGCGTGTCTCCATAGGCGAGAATCCTCTGTACATCTTCAGGGCACTGCATAACCACAAAGCCCATCGAGCTCGGTCGAACCGCACGAACTTGACCATGCGGGCCTGGCTTCGGCTTGGCCCTCATCGGGAGGAGAACAACGTCCTTCACTCTACCGAACTGGCTGAAGTACTTCTTTAAAGCATACTGTGATTTAAAACCGAGCTTGTGCACTTTCCGAACCGTGAAGACCCTCTTCTCATCCTCTTCGTTGAAGACTTGTAACGCCTCCAAGAGGTTCATCCGAGGCGGCTCGTTGTCCCCAGCAAACGTCGAAGGCTCCGGTCGCGACTTTCTGCTGGCATCCCAGGTCTGAGCATGACTCCTCAGGGAGCTCTGATGTACACCCAAACCACTGGGAGTTGTAACATGCCAGAGGAGCGACGAACTATCAAGACTACCATTGGGCACCGACAACGAGTCAGTGTCGTGAACCGCCGATAGCCAGCCAGCTGATAGAGCCTCATTGTAAGAAGCGATCTCTACCTCGCCTCCACTGACCACCTTGAGACCATGAGGGTAGACAGGACTGCTATCCGAAGCATCGGTCATAACGATGATAGCCTCATCCCTATCCTCTATCTCGATGACCTCCTGTACTTTACCGAATACCGACAAGTAAGCAGCTAGTGTCTGTGCTGGTCCAAAGCCAAGGCTCCCAATGTGACGTACAACCAACACATCCTCCTTGTTCTCGAATGCCATAGCCAACATAGCATCATCAATGGTTGCCTTTCGGCACACCGGTAACACATTTTGGGTCAGACCTTCAACTGCTGTCATCGCACGACTACGGTTATGATGACCCGCGTTACTCCCCAGGTAGATCTGCGAGAGGTCCAGGCCATTGCTGATCCCATAACCCTCATCAACAGTAGCTTCCAATGCGCCTGCGGCCTCCGGGCTCATCATACTCAAAGACAACACCTTCAGCTTCAACGTCTCATTTTCCAGCTCTAATAGACGTCGCTTCTGCCGCTCTTCATTCAGCTCAAAATGAGCCTGTGAAACAGCATTCGAGAGAGCAGTTATTCGTTCCTGCAGCTCGTCAGTGTCACCACGACTTTCGAACGCCTGAACTCCGCTGACCACAGACTCGCTACCAACCGTGGGATCGAAAGCTGGATAGCCATCAAACTTAACCCTCCTACCAGGCGTATCATCTCCACTCGATGCCGAGGTCGTCGAGGCCGGCTCGCGGCCAGGGGGACTGGTCGCCTCCGAGGAAGAATGATGATCCGTGCTGTGCCGAGGGGAATAACCAAAAGGCAATTCAGGTGTTGATAGTGGATGTTGATGAGTGGCAGACATTAAGTTTATATCTACAAATATTAACTCGCGGAAAGGAACATGTAATTGGTATTTGAAGCACTGCCCTCCACTGCCAGCAGCCGAAGCATAGAGTGAACGTTGAGGAAATGCAAGACATGCAAGATTTTAAAGCAAGAATTGATTTGCCCCTTGTGCCAAGTCGTAATTGGAACCGCATCATAATAACCGACGTATCGTACCGTAAAACATAGGTAAATCTGTTGGTCATGCTCAACTTGATGGGACCGAACTACCGACAGCCAACCGTCAATGGTATTATTGGTACCTCTGCCCCCAACGCCGATGCTGCCGAAACTGACAGCACTACCATGAGGGCCGCAAGTTGAAGGCGAGTCCGCACTGAGGGCACATAGGAGACCCGAAAGGAAAAGGAATTGGCCAGCCTAGGCAATAGTCTATGCCTCAGTCGAAGTAAGCAGGGGTCCAACTCACTGTGACTCTCGATATGGTGGAATATGACGTGGCAGTAAGGCCTGGGTACACCTTGTTCCCTGCAGCTTCTCGTCGAACAGTGTTCGACGAACACTATCAGGAAGCAAGTGAAACCTGTGTTCGGAGTTCAGACTGCAGATTTGTCTGAGGAAATCCAACCCGGGGAGTACTGCATAATATCTTCTAAATCCTATCGAACAGCGTACCTGATAGCTTTAACCCACTCAACGACTTCATGGAAGGTTTAAGTCCTGAGCCACGTCAAATAGGCGGTAACGATGGTGGAGCTCCTGCTGACCTGGGAGATCCGTATAGTAATCATCATACACTGGACAGCATGGTACCCCTTCAAAGCAATGGACCAGGACTTTGCCTTCGGCTACCGTAATTGCCAAATGGGTCCATACTATAGCACGGTACAATACTGCAGGGAGCATTGGCTCAGTTTTGGAGTCCTCCAAGGATAAGGTCAGGTATTTGGACACAAGCAATGGATATCTGGTTCACACGAGCTCCAGAAAACCCTAATCAGCTGGTTCTATGGTGTAACGGTTAGCACTCCAGACTCTGAATCTGGCGATCTGGGTTCAAATCCCGGTAGAACCTTTTCTACATCGGCGACTACGAATGTCTCTCGAACATCCTTGATGCCATTATCAGTGAAAGAGTTGCCGCGAACAGCAGCAGCTGAGTTGTTCATGTGTGTGTCATCCCTTGCTCTGCCAGTATATCCAAATTTGGAGCAATCTTCATCCCTCCGAGGTAGAGAGCTCCAGGCAAAATCTCGCTGCATTGCGACCTGGAACTTCCAGGCTGGAAGGAATTAACTATCAACGGCTAATGCCCTCATCAAATACCTGTACTGACGTAGACGAAGCTCATTCCGAACGTCCGCAGGGAGATGGGAATTGTCGGTTTCAGAACGAATGTCGAATGACTGGATCAAATCCAGGTCAGTTTTCGACCTGACATCGGCGGTTGCCTCTTTCCGGAAGAGGCCTCAGAGAATCAAACCTACTTGGCAGTGCCGAGTTGGCATCATTGTTGGTTCACTATGGCCAACTGCTGTTGGCGATGAAGAAATTTTATGTACATCCGACGGCTGCTTTTGCAGTTGCAGCCCATTACAGCTTCACACCTTGGCGAGGCTAATAATCCGGTTGTTAGCCGGTCTACGCCCCCAAAGTGACAACTATATCTCAACACTCGCACAATAATAGTGAAGATTTGGTTACAGTTGATAAACCCTAGATTTTTTCGCTTATGGTCATCAGTCTTAGCGGAGCGATGCACACGCAATGTGGCAGGTTACAGAATAGTACGGGCTGACGACTCCATCACTGCTGATCCTGTCTCCGACAACCTCTATATGGTGCAATGTGAATAAAAACAACTCCCGAGGTGACAGTGGGCAAGGAGGAAAAGATGGCACTGACGATCAGGCCAGGGGAGAAAGCAATCACCAGTTCTCCTCATTCCAGAAAGCCTCTGGGTCGCTCAACATACCTGAGGAGTTCCCAATGCCAATGCCGAGACATGTAACCAATAATACTCACCAGACTTCTTCTGGGGCTGCAAACCTCCAACTTGTGGAGCATTTTGTTGACCTATGGGTTTCGGATGGGACTGCTGCGGTGACGGCCTGGTAGTAGTCGAGGATAGATCGACTTGTGGCGGCTGAGTAGCACGTGGGGGCGACGAAAACGATCGACCGTGGAGGTCGTGACTCTCTGCAGGATGCGTAGGAGTAGGAGTGGTGACCATCAAATCCGAACCGAACCCCTGAAAAGACACCTCCAGGCCACAGCCTCGACAGAATTAAACCTACTTGCATCTTCCCAGTCGACAAGGAGTTAAGATAGTCAGCTGCTGCCTCTCCTCTAGCAGAAGACCCCCGAGTAGTGTTTGATGGTACTGATGGCCGCACAGAGTCCGACCCAAAGCCCTACACCCAACACTCAACCTCTGGTACCCCCTCACTAACCCTACTACCTCCATGGTCCCCGACGACAACGTGCCGAGATACTGAGTTGCCTGCTCACCTCTAGCTGAGCTACCAGTACCACCAAGTTGCTGCGAGAACCAATCCGATGTTGAAGATATCTTGGAACGAACCTGAGGTATCACCATCCATCTCATCATGAACCAGTGTTGGAATAGACGTTCGTAGTCCAGGAGTTTCCTTACTAAATACAGAAGTTTACATACAAATTCGGGCGGAAGCATACACAAACCAATGGGAATTTCCTCAAAATTTCACCTACACATGTAGTTGAATATGTGCATATTTTCCAACACCATCATGGACCTTCCCGTATAACCTTATCCTTGAATGCCTTATCAGTAACCGTACTGTACGCTTCAGAGCTCTTCTGAGCTGCCCAGTTAGCGTAACTCTGAGCCGTCGCATTCCAGCCATCCTGTTGTATTTGTTGGCTCTAAACAGCGAATAGTACAGACCTACCATAACAGCATCAATTCTTACCGCCGACCGAACCCAAGACGCAGCGCCAGAGAGCATGTTTCCCAAGGGATCATCATCGTCGTGGGCTTCCTGATTCCAGTAGTCCTCCCGGTCCGACCCTACTACAGCGAACTGGGCTACCCAAAGTGTACCCAATCCTTCGCCCTACCTCCCTGGCGTTGTGCCGCGCTATACCCATCAGAGCTTCCTTGATGCATTCTGCTAGACATTCCATCGTTTCCAAAGCCCGTCATAGTACTCCGGCCGGTTTGACGTTGTGCTTTGAGTCCGTTGCTACGACCATTGGAAGATTCAAAGCCCGAGCCTGGCGGGGTAGAGACACTCCGATGACTACCACTAGTCGACGGAGCCGGAGGAGGGTCTAACAAGCATCACCCACTCACCACAGGGCAAACTAGTTCCTTTACATGCAGGCATTTTCCCTTCTGCGATAGAAGGCCTTTCAGGCGGGGCGGTGCCATCAACCAAGGCTTGAATGAAGTTTCTGTAGTACTCCGCTGCCTTGGTATTGTACTTCTCCGAAATCGACATCTTATCGATCTCCTGGCACATATAATCGTTCGCGCCTCAAATCGTTCGCCGCGAGTGCTACCATCTCTCGACAGAATTTATTAAACTTGCCGTTGCCACCAACTTCCATCTTCTTCAACTGCTTGGGGTTCCACGTATCCATCGTGGTTGACCGCACAAAACTAAGGTGCACTCCGAGAGATCGATGCTTCCCTGAATACCATAATTTACCCACATCCTCAAGTGCACTGCCTAGGATACTACCAGAGCAGACTAGACAGAAATAGATCCCATAGGGGACGCTGGCCCACTGTGGGTTGGCAGCACCGCAGTCACAACAGACAGCGTTTTCGGGGTCCTCTTTTCGACGTGCTGCGAAAAAACTCTTCGTTGACGGGTCCATGGTGAGAACAATAGAAAACTAGCACAGCAGTGGGACTGATGTAGGGCCTGCCAGGACTACAACCACGCGCCTAAGTGCTGGGGAGTAAGCCACTGCTAGTTTGCAAAGCTTTTACTAATTGCTCGGGGACAGAGGGGCAAACGGTCCCGTTTGTCCCGAAGACCTACTGCCGCTATTGAGTAGCCCACTTCACGGAAGTCAACTCTTGTTACCAGCGCAATATGGAGGATCGCCGATTGGAACGATTATGCATAGAAAAACTGCGTGAATTTCGGAGTTATTCGCGCGCGTATAATCGTCGAACCTGGGATCTAGCACCGGTGTGGTGCCTGATCGGTGCACTGCGTCACATTCTTCCCAAAGCAACTGTCATCATTGCCGATGACATCGGACCATTCATAATTTCGTTTCCACTTCCTGCTTCGGTCCTGTTTCTATTCGAACTAGGAAATCATTTTTTAACCGGCTGACTTGAGTCTCCAGAGATACGTGGGTGCTATCGTTGGACACCCCATGCTGATCGGTTATCAATGCTATAATAATCAGGCATATACCGCTTTTGTGAGGCTCACAGCTCAATCCTGATACAGGGTCAAGGGCAATCCCAAAAGTGAAATACTCATAGTTCATAGTTCCCTTCCAACTATCACCACCGATGAAAGAGAGATCTCATTATGACTGACTGCACTCAACACAGTATTGACGAACCCACGATCTTAAAAGGGTGGATAAAAATATCGCGAATAATACACAAGTAGTCGTTAAGCAGTGGGGCCTAGAGACCGAGCAGCTCCTTGTTGATATCATCGTCTTCATCGTCATCATCATCATGAGGCATTGGAGTAACCGTCGAGGACTGCTTCTGTTGTTGTTGTTGATGATTATGATGGTCATCTGACTCTTCAGGAGTTTGGAGTGCCGCCATGTGCTGGTAGTACTTCAACCAACAAGCACGGCGATAAGCCTCGAAGGCTTCTGAAAATTCAACTCACGAGTATCCCCCATCTCAGTCCAAGAGCACGAGAGGGTACTCTCATCGACGCGGATTCCATCCAAACACCAGGTTATTTCAGTGGGTATGCTGTCTATACGCCGACCGATACATAAACTCCAATACTTCCACCACTACCTTTATCGTTGGGGTCGGGCGCAGGACCATACCCAGAGTCGGGACCTGAGCGTCGTTGCACACTCTCAGCAGCAGCAACAGGAGGAGGCCGCGCCGACATCCTTTCGAGGGCCTGATGGACGCAGTACCCATCAAGATGTGGCGTAGAGGTAACCTTACTTGCCGCTTCCGACGTTGCAGCTCGGTCTCTTCTGGGAGCTGCTGGGCACTGGTTTGGTAATGCCTGTTGAAGCCCGGTGGTGGTGTAGGGAAGGGGGGAGGCACCGGCAACCCCTGGGACATGGGATCTGGAGAAGCAGAGTGACGAACCTGGCCTGTGACTGCTGAAGATATTACATGGAACATGTTGAGGAGGATATCCCTGTGTACCTCCCCATGGAGGAGGCTGTTGAGGAGAGTACCCAGCCATGGGTGCTTCTTGAGGCCACCAGCCATCACTATGCCTGAGGAAGAGTGCTGAGAAGTGCCATGGATACGCCAAGGCGTGCTCACCCGACTGGATGTGCGCCCGATGGAGGAGCAGATGGCCGTTGTTTGTCCTCCAATGTTACATCGAGGTCGGCAGCAACTCGGTCGATGGTCTCCTTTCGCCGCGCCAAACCAGCGTCGATCTACAGAGCACAGAGATCCAAAGTAACACCACCAAATCCAGTCTTGCAGCATATCGCTTGGGCGGCTATCCAGCACGATACTATCGTACAAATCATATGGAAAAGGCCGATACACTGTCAACGAAAGCCCCAGGGATGAACTAGATAGTGAGCGGGGTAAACCTGAATCCTATAGGGGTATATGCGTACTGATTCGACACATTAAAATTTTTCAAAGCGATGATTTTTAACTTGAATTGAGTATCGCAACAGCCCTGCAGTGACGCCTACTACCTCGTTAAGCATCCTTTTCCAAGCTGGATCGCTGACGATGAGTGCAGGTGGAGCACCAGAGGATACTAGCCGTCGGACGTCTGCAAAGTTGGTAGAGGACGGGGGCGCCATACTAAGGAGACGAGCCGCTGGAGATGATCACTCAACAGGCCAACAATAACGGATTAGTTCAAACGCGAAGTATCGGGGCAGCCGGGCGCAAATGGACGATGTAGGTTGCGCGAATTCTTCCGCAGCCGGAAAATATCGCGCATGTCATAAACTTCGCGCAGAGCAAATCGTCCATTCAACCCTTTCACGATGGTCGTCGTCGCCCTTTCATCAATCCTCCATTTTTTCTCACCGACTGCATGGGTGTTCCTGACAATCTCTACCTCACTAACACTGTAATATCCTCGGCCGTACACGACTGCACCTGACCTCACTTGAATCTTATCGTCTTCAACCTTGGATGCGTCTCTCTTTTCCAGATACTTCGGCGTTCGGGCCACCATTTACTCAGCGAAAGCCATCCTATTGGAGCTTAACCTTCGTTTCTGGCGAGCAGTCTTAGTGCGGTTTCCCAGCTTGGGCGTGGGCCTGGCTCGGAAGGTGGCAGCAACGGAACCGTCCGGTACTGTATTGGGGATAAACCTGGTAGAGCCGAAGTCTATCGGGCGAGTCAGTTCGACTGGAGACGACCCTGAGGGGAAGAATGATGAACATAAAGGGGTGAAGCGTCGTGCTGTACACCACGCTGGTGGGAATGTAGCTGAGCCCGGGGAGATCATAACGAAAAACGACTCAAAGGCCACTGATTCTTGTGAAGGAGCAGTCAGTACTGCATCGGCTATGGCAACTCTTAGAGCGGTAATAGCTGGGGGGGTATAGTGGAATAAGAGGTCGTGGGCATAGGCACGAGCTGCAGCACGTATTCATCGTACTGTGCGCCACGAGATGGAGCCGAAGATCAAGCCTGGAATGCGGCTGGACACTTTTGTGGAGGAGTTGGAGAGTCGAGTGAACATGCACGCTAAGTTCGATCCCAAGCGACCACTTGAGCGTGGCTGGGGTTTCCCTACTGGTAAGTATGCGGGTAGTGTATATCCACATGGAGTCTCTCACCATAGGCGTGTGCTTGAATGAAGTTGCCGCTCACTTCACGCCCAACAACCCGGCCTTCTCAACAGCACCTCCGCCCCAGTCTATCATATACACTGCTAATGATGTGCTCAAGGTAGTGACGCCCTCTTGTCCTGGTGCCTCCCAAATCTTGCTGCTCAGGTCGACTTTGGAGTCCATGTCGACGGCCATATAATTGACTGCGCTTTCTCCGTTACCCATAACCCTCTTTTGGTGCCTTTGCTAGGTAGTAAGGGGGCACGCTGTAGCGTACATACCGGAGAAGTGTACTCCTGCTTCAGAGACAGTAAAGGAAGCAACATACACAGGCATTCGCACGGCTGGAGTTGATGTGCGGGTGTGTGATGTGGGTGCTGCTGTCAGCGAAGTAGCGACGGGGTGCTTCGGTGCGGCCCCTCCATACATATGTTAGGTCATGAACTCGGGTGAGCTCGAGGATGGATCCCCAGTGAGGGTCATCTACAACCTGTGTGGTCACTCTATCGGCAACTACAAGATCCACGATGGTCTGGCCATACCCCTAGTGGATAACGGAGACCAAGTGAGCGACCGCCGGCTGGACGTATCGTGGAGTGGTTCCTCTTCTTAGACTAAAATGAAGGCTAACCAGCTCTACGCTGTGGAGACCTTTGGAGGTGCTGGTGGTGGAATCACTGGTTATGTCACCAGCAAAGTAATATGGGGTGTTGAGTGTGCAGGGCAGAGGTTTTCGGGGTCTCAGGGGGAGTCGAGCCATTTCATGCTGAGCCCTTACTACGAGCAGTTTAGCCGTCTTCTGTCGGCCAACGGCAAGAGGACTCTCTCCCACATACTTAAGCGTTTCAGCACGATGCCGTTCGCTGGTAGTATATATATCGCGGTCTTTTTATCGATGGAATTCGATGTCAGACCGGTGGCTATCGGCGTTTGACTGCGGGAATTTGAGAGAGCTCGTGCGGTATAATGTGGTGATGGACTGTCCTCCGTTGGTGGACGCTGGTCCGGGAGGATACATAGCGCAGTTCGAGCACACCATCATGTGCGGGGAGATGGGCACGGAGATAATATCAAAAGGACCGGATTATTAGCTGTCATTAGCCTCGGCGATGTTCCTGCTGCAAAGCGCTGCTTGTGTTGCGATCGGAGTTGGGGTTGTGGGAAGGGGTGTGTTGGAGAAGTAGGGTTTGTATGGTTGAGAAGGACCCTAAGGTGAAAGAGCTGGAGAAGAGAGCACGAGGTCGACAGCCCTATGTCTATGATGGGCACGTAGTGTATGAATGGGAGCAGACGCAAGATGAGGTTATAAAGGGGGGGGGACCGTCCTAGGGATATACTTGTGCTCGATTACACTATCACTGTATTGTTACGGACTGAGCCTCACATATGTGTCCTCCTTCCCTTTCACAGGTGCATGTATATGTAAAGTTACCATCAGGGTGTACTAAGGCCAGCCAGTTCTCTATTACGCTGGAGCCTAAACGAGTTAAGCTCAGTTTAAGAGGGGCACATCAGTTTTACCTTAATCACACACCGTAAGGCCGACCACTGCCTTGCAGTTGATTGGTATATGATGGAAATCTCAGGGCCGGCCTAGTGGATAAGGATGACTCTACGTGGTTCATAGAAGACGGGGAGGTGCACATTATATTAGCTAAGGTGGTCAAGGAGTGGTATCGGATGGAGCTGGTGGTCAAGACGAATACACTTGTTCAACTACTGTAGGCCCGTAAAGCGGAGCTATGGCCGTCGTGTTTTGAAGGACAGACTCAGTTGGATGCCTTCACCCAGAATGAGCTTAGCAAGAAGCTGATGCTTGAGAGATTCCAGGTGCCGCCCAAGCGGGAGTAGTCTGGTGGACAATACTTGTACGATGGTGTCAGGAGGAGCATCCTGGGTTCGACTTCTCGGGAGCGGAGTTCAACGGCAATGTGCCCAACGCGAGGGAGTTCATGGGCGGCGTTCAGTATAAGTGATACTGTGTATGGTCTCTCGATTGTGTGATTGAATTATTGTGGTTTCTGGCACGAGCGTTGCCCGTGTTACGGAGGTTTTGCGCTTGCGTGCTGGGCTGCTGGTCTTGGTGAACACTTCGTCTCATGGCCACTCTCTGTGGGGGGTATCGATCCTTGATATCCTCAAATCTTCCCTAGAGGCCAAGCAGCACGGGTAGGTTCTGGCGGGCCTCTAGCTGGCATGCCTCGGGCAGCACCTCTCTTATCTGGCTTGGTCACGCCCTAGATCCTGAAATAGCCATAGGGTTGTATACGGGCTCAAGGAAGGGGCGATCCTGTCAGACCGCTGGCAAACTATGTAGGTGGTTCACCAGAACGGAGGAAGTGTTAAAGAAGGAGACCCTGCCCTATGTATTGGCACTAGGCTTCCCCATGTGTGCCACTTGTGGTTGCTTCCTCGATGCTGTCTTATTGATTCGTTGAGTCTCTGTGGCGACGACTTGTATGTTGCATCAGTTTTGTATGGCGGTTCTGTCCACCAGCAAGCATCTGCCTCTGCCGGAGTCGGGCTCCCTACGTAAGCGGATGTTGCTGGCCGTGGTCGTCCTCCTGTCCCTCTCCTTGTGTTTCGTATTGGCCCTCATCAACACTTTCATCCACCATGAGCAGCAGCATCACCATACCTTTTATGGCACCAACAAGTACATTGTCGTTAGTCTAGCCGAAGGTTAGTGCACCACCACCCTCACTCGGCCGAGGCTGAGCCGTGTTCCTCAGTTATCAAACTGGCCTGTTGCATCTCTCTATACGTGGCCGTTACGAAGAGAGTCTCTGATGCATCCGACCCCGCCTCACGGTTTGGCTTGGCGACGGTCGTGCGTTACACTACTCCAAAGGAGGCCCTAGCGTATTGCATCCCCGCGGTAAGAGGCCCGCTGCCGATGCCTGATGTGACGTGGATTCGCCTTAGGTTGTCTACCTTATAGAGAACAACAGCATCTTTGTAGCTCTTGATTTACTGGATTCACCGGCAACTTTTCAGCTCTTATTGAATATGAAGATCATCATCACAGCCCTCCTGTTCCGGTAGTCTGCAGGTCCATCGCAATAGCCAACACCGTTAGCCCTCGCCTGGCAGGTACTTCCTCGGCCGCTCTCTCTCGACAGCCCAATTTGTTTGCACAGTCCTTTGTGCGATTGGTCTGTGTATCGCCGTGATTGCATCTGGGACGGAGTGGCAGCAGCAGCAGCAGGTGGTGGCGGCCGGTGATGAGGGCCTAGACAGGCAAAGCAGCCGATGGGTCAAGACAATACTGGGTACAGGTTTGGATAGGGTACCGTTGCTCGTACCCTCGAATACTAGGTGCCAGCATAGTATCAGGGATCGCCTTGATATCCTCCTTCTCCAACATATGGGTTGAGTACCTCTTCCAAGACCGTGACAAGGAGATCCCCTTCCTCCTCCGGAATTCGAGGATATACATGTGGGGAGCGCCCCTGAACTCAATAGCCGTTGTCGCCGCTGCAATCGTGACAGGGGAAGCGCCTACAATAGAGGCATTCAAAGCGGCTTTAGGTGAGTCTTATTGCGACTATCACGATGACCACTGAGTGCAGTTACTGCGGTTGGACTGTCTGTGGTGGGTCTGGCAACAGCTGTAGTACTCAACTATGGTGACAACATGATAAATGCATACGTACATGCCGGTACACTTGTCTGTACAGTAGTGGTGGCAGCCTTGCTCTACTCGGACTACTCTAAACTGAAATCGCCTTGGTTTGTAATAGGAGCAGTGGTGGTATCGGCCTCGGCGATAGGCTACCGCTTAGGGGCGGTTGGCAGCGAGGCGGAGGGGATCTCTCGTGTTCCATACGCGAAGGTACATCAACCTGGGTTGAGTAGGCTCAGTACAATTTCGGAGGCCAGCGATGAGGGGTCAGAGATGTCCATGGGAGAGATCGAATGATCGATACATACGTGGCTCGTACCAATTGAATTTGTATTTTTTCAAGTATTTTTTCAGTGTGAGCGTTGCGTTTCCTGCCTTTATATGGGCTCGTCCGAAGCATAACAGACGCCGTTGACTTTTTATCGGATCATGCTTTACTTTGGCGGCATCTCGCCTTCGGCCTTACCTTCATTCGGTCACCCGGGCTTCTTCTCTCCCCCAATGGGAGGTACCCTATCAGAGTTGGATGATGGCAGTCCTCGTGAAGTCCCACCTTCGGCCAGGCTGGTCGGATCAAAAGTGGTGCCCGTGGGTGCCCCCGCCGCCCCAGCTATGTCCAACACTGAGGCTGTTACCTCAAGGCTCTCAAGAAGCGCTTCCTTCACACCACAGAGCGGCAACACTCCTCATCGTCCTAGACCTCCGTCGGTTCGACCATCCACAGCATCATCATCATCCCGTTTTGGACGGGGTTCTAATGTCGGTCGCGACCCATTGGATAGGATGCCATCAACCACGGAGATGAGACAGGCCTTGATCAGGTCGGCGTCAGCTAAGGGCTCATTTATGAGGAGTGAATCACGCGTGGCTGTTGATCGGCCAACTGTGTCCTCGGCCAGCCGGTCGTTGTCAGCGAAGGCTTTGTTGAGCAAGCCGAATAATACGACCAAAGCGGCGGCCCTAGAGGGGGAGATAACTGGTTTAAGGAGGAAGATAGGAGAGTTGAGAGAGCTCAGAAGGAGGAATCAAGAGACCATCGAGGTCTTGACCCAAGTCGTGAGAGATTTAGGACGCTCCAGAGCCTTCGCGAATTCGTTGGTTCGAAGCCAGTCCATGAAGGGGCCTTTCATCTAAGGTTCCTCCTCGCATGTACCATAACGTAGTGGTTCCCTTTGGATGCCTTGCTTGGTAGTAGGAGGTGGCATGATTTGTTGAATGAGGTTGTTATACTGTTGTATACTGCGAACGTGTTCTGTTGAGTGCTCCGAGAGGGTCGTGGCTGCCGCAACGGTTGAAGTGTTTTGTGCAGTTGACTTTATTTTTACCAATTGTCAATCATATCATGTCTAGTACGGACGACTCGTCACCAGGGAGTTCATCATCGGCTGAGACACCAGCCTTTCAGGAGAGCCCCGGGGACCTTGACAGTCCTGTGGAGGAGGACTCAGTCGCGGTGTACTGTTGGGGTGACAACTGGTGCGGTCAGTGTCTTACGGAAAACGAGGAAGGCAAGAGCGTTGTGGAAAGGTGGGCAACGCAAGGCTGAAGCAGTTCCCCCCACAGGGGTTGTTGTTAGGCCCCAGAGGGTTTGTGAGCTGGACCGGCGGCATCCGAAATCACTATGCGTAGGGCCAGAGTCCACACTGGTGGTCAGTGAGTCGGGGAGAATTTACGGAGGAGGTAGGGCTTCGACGAAAGTCCATGACGTTGCCTAGTGTTCTTAGGTCTCAATGAGAAGGGCTATATAACAGGCCCTGATGGAGACGATTCCGAGAGTTTGTTCAAGCCGAGGCTAGTAGCATATCAGGAACTGGAGCAGAGCTTCGTAGGTGGAGCTTGGGGACTTGCTCCTCTATTTGTGTGCTCTATGTGAAGGTTACTGCTGTTAACTGTGGAGATCATCATACTGTAGCGCTGACCAGCAACAACCTCGCTATAGGCTGGGGCAGGGACAATGAGTTTGGCCAGGTAGAGACGTGGTGGGGTCGCCGATTGGATCACTTTGTGGAGTGTTGTAGGTCGGCCATGGTCAGCCATCGATCAAGCCGATGCCGCCTAGAATGATGGTGACACCGCAGGAGGTGTGCCAAGTGGCATGTGGTGGTGATTTCACTCTGTTGCTGCTTGAGACTGGAGAAGTGTATGGCACAGGGAACAACTCTGTTGGGCAGCTAGGTAGTGGCACTCTGGACTTTTGTAGAGCACTAGTCATTCGACTTGTGTGGACTAACGTTGGCGGGCCATCCCACTCTGTTGGTACACCTTTCCGTGGTCGCCAGGTACTGGTAACACTGAGGAGATAACCACACCGAAGCCTGTGTTGAACTGTGGTCAGACCTATGGAGTGCCGATACGCCAGGTAGCTGTTCTCTTGAAGGCAAAAACTTTCGAGTCGAAATGTTCGTTGCAGATTTCAGCTGGTGATGCACATGCGTGCGCAATATCGATCTCTGGAGTCCTGTTCACATGGGGCTCCAACCGCAAGGGTCAGCTTGGTCGAGAAGTAGGAGCAGGGATACGATAGGACAGAGGATGGTGTTCCCCTTCAGAATGCTGGTCATCGCGAAGTGCTGCCAGGACCTGTTAGTTGCCTGCCACCAACCAAGGCCGTCCAGATGGCCTCATGTGGAGCGCAGCATACGGCAGCAGTAGTCCAGGGCGGCCAGGTCTATCTCTGGGGAGACAACGCTTTTGGCCAGTGTGGGGTTGATGCTGTTGAGGAACCGATTCTGCCGATACCCATTAATCTCCAGTCGAAAGGTGGGTTCTTCACCACTTGCAATCATTTGTATCTTGTCCTTCTAGAGGTGTGGAGGACAGTCGCTTGCGGTGGGCACCATACGCTCTTCTTGGACGTCAATGGGCAGTTGTTCGGCTGTGGCAGTAACGAGGACGGGCAGCTTGGAACGGGATTCCCGGGACGTTCGTCTGAGCTGAGGCCAACGCTGATGCCCAGGAGTTTGGCTGTGTTCTCTGTCGCAGCAGGTGAGAAGTGGCGAAATCCGTGTCTCGGGTGATCCTTGCTGTCAGGCCGGAGCCATTCAGCGGTGCTCGCTATCAAGTCGGCAGAACGGCCAATGGTCCCACGAGTGAGGACCTCTGCACCGAAAGCCTTGGGTGCCGCTGAGCTGTTCAAGGCGCGCTCGATGGCCTTCCCAAGGGCGGGGAGGGAGGGAGCACCAGCACGTCCAGCGGTAGGCTAGAACGAATATAGGCGGAGCGAAGCTGGAAATCTTGTTGTTGTAGACTGTTGATCCTGGAGATGGCAGTGCCCTTCGGAAGCAACGACGTATGATATCCACTCCTGTTGAAGGTGTGGCCCCCCTCGAGCCCTCTGATGACTCTGGGCTATTAAAACGAGCTGATCCCTCTGAGCGCCATGCTGGGCATAAGCGGGAGACGTCACAGAAGTCGGCTACCGTCAGCGAGGCCACCTCGATGATGTCCGATGCCTCGGGTGTGAGCGTTTCCCATAACTTGCCGAGGACCATCAGCGGCGGTAGCAAGGACTACTTGGCTCAAAAGGCTGGCGGCCGGGTGGGCTAGTAATGATGATCCGAAGGTGATTCAAAGTGTTATTTCTCCAGATATCATTAACCCGGTCTTCTCGACATGGTGTGATACACGCTATGCTCCGTCAAGTGGTCACACCTGGGGTTGGTTCTACCTCCTTTGCGGCCCTTTCGGCCGAGTCACTGCTGCGTATGGTCCACACCTTCTCAAGAAGCACTGGCAGCAGTATGTCTGATGACTTCGTAACGAGTGTGGCCAACGACCTCAAGCGGTCACTCTTGGCGATATTTCGGACGCAAGATGGCATCCAAATGCTTAACTCGAGTCTACTCTATCCCGGACACCGACGATCAGTGCTGGATACTCAAACGGCGTATGCCTGTTTCACAGAACTCTGGGGGAGCCAGGCTTTCCAGGAGAGCAACTTCGAGCAGGAGCTAGCAGTGGTGGTGCGAGACTCTCTGCGCGATATGAGCGGCAAGAGCCTGGAGACCGCGGACCAATTACGAGGGATACTCACCGTCATGCTCCTCCCGTTGATGGATCGACCAGCTGGGATTTGGTGTCGGCAGAGGATGGGGGAGTTGATCTCCTGCCTGTCTCCAAAGGGCAAACTGGCTCTGGTAGGGCAGCGATCTTTCGCTACGACGTAACAAGCTGGAATGATATTCGTAACAGGTTGACTTGATCGCTACCGAATGCCCACAGCACTACATACTCAGCGATTGCCTCATGAAGACGTGGCTGAACCAAGCTAATGCGCTGGCCAATGAAGTCCATAACCTGGGGGGCGGCAAGGTGGCTGTTCTTAGTCAAGTAGACGATACGTTGCCAGGTCCTTGCTGATGCACTGTGTGATTCAGGCCATGATCGTTTTAACTGTTATAATCAGCGCTGCAGAAAAAGTGGGTCTACCTGGGGCTGAAGAGATTGCGGTCACTGGGCTGGCTGAAGCCGTACCGCCCGATGTCGAGTTCATGATGTATTCCCAGACATGGGCTAAAGAGTATCTCAAGTAGGACTATGAGTGGCTTCATTATGAAGCATGGGTGTTTCACTTTAGACCTGATCCTAATGGGGGACGTCCTATCGGGCGGTTGCCGAGTAAGTTAGAGGTGCTAGCTAAACCTGAGTGTGTTGGCCCTAATACGACTACTGTCACGGAGTATATGGCTTCGATGCTGGGCTATGGGTCATTGGTACCTTTGGGTTTCAAGAACAAGGTCTTGCAAGTTGAGAATGTGTTGCGGCAAGTGAAGCACAACCAGGAGCATCTACAGGTAGGTGTTCCGGCAGCTGCCACCATGTAGATATGTGTACCAGGCTCATCCGGGAATCATGGTCGATGCCTTTATGAGAGGCGTGCGGCCGAAGACTGTCCTACAAGTGCAAGTTCGACGAGATCATATAATCCAAGATGCCCTTCGTGTTGTAGCAGAGGTAAGGAAGCGAGCGTCTCTGTAGCTGAAGGGCTCTCTCTGCCATCCTCCTCTTGTTGGCGTTCCTGAATCGGATTTCGGTCAGACTGATGACCAGCAGTTGAAGTTCCCGATGATGGTCAAGTTCGAGGGAGAAGACGGGGTTGACGAAGGCGGAGTACAACGAGAGTTCTTCGACATACTCTGCAAGCAGTTGTT